GGTTACGTTTGGAAGCAAATGGATGATTCACATTCGTGGTTTTCACTATATCTCCAACGCTTTTGAACAGACTATGTGATTAAAGCAAACATGATACCAGCTAAAATACATTACATTAAGCACATTAGCTACAACAAACAGAGGATGCCAAAGGTTAAAAATGATTAGTTTAACCCTGTAGGTTCTTGTTGTAGTGGCATTAATTTACAATTGGTTTGGAAGAGACAAATTAACCATAGAGCTCTTAATAAATGTCAAAGCCCTGGTCTGCTATGATACTTTTGAAAAACAAAATTACCTGCTACAACCACCAGAAAAGCTTATTACAACTCCCTATGAACTTGTATGAGAATATGTCAGGTACAAATCCTGACAGTATTTTAATAACCTTTTACATGAAATCCAAATGAAGCACAGGGTCTCACAGTATTTAACTAAATAAACAAATGGGTATCGTGAAAATCTTTAAATCTGCGTCTAAGTCTTGCTGTGAGTGGATTAGTTAATGGTTTCAGACTGAATAAATCAATAGCATCAGTAGTTAATGTTTGCTAATTAGACTAAATAGACGTGCAGTGCAGTGTGATGCTTAACTATGTAGTCCAGCAACATCCTGATGGTGCCTAATTACTTTTAGAGGTGAGAGGATAACCAATTTCCTTTGTTCTTTGAGTTCTTTACAGAAAATCACCATTACCAATCACCAAGCTCAGTTCAATGTCATCAGCTTTATTGCTTTTCTGGGTCCTCTGCTTGAAACACTGCAGTTTTCATTTTAATAACTTCCAGTATAATGTCTCAATCCTATCAGGAACACTTATTTTTAATTATTTCATCATATACATGATGAATAAAAAACAGTGTGCTCTACTTAATTTATACATTCTAAACAGCAAGTTGATATTTGAAATATGAAGTGTTTTCTGCCAGACATATAAATGATAGTTCAGGGCCCCTTCCTGTTACAGAATATGTGAAAATATTTTTGCACAGAAAGTACAAGCTCACATAAGCTTTCGCTCTCTCAAATACATATTATTTTTGCATGTTACATTTGAAAATAAACAGCATATTTCTTTGCAAAATTGACAAACTTTTCTTTGCATTTTGTTTTCTGAAAGGCACACTTGGTTTTGGATCAGAATCAGAAAGTGCTCCGATATCTTTGCAAAGTGTGCTTTTGTATAATGCAAAAAGCATTGCTTTGCAAAACATTTTGCTCTAAGAAAGATCTACCCAGTGTTTTCTATGTGACCTCAGTTTGCAAATGTCTGCTGGTGGTTTTTTTCTTTTGCACTGCCTACTGCAGCAAAGGTACAGAGAAAGCCATCTTACACAGATAAGACAGGCTCGATTTCGTTTTCCATGAAACCCAAACTACATTTCGTCACTGTGGTTTTAGGCTGGTCTGTATATCAACTGCAAAGTAGGTTAAGAAATAAGTCAAGGCTGAGTCTCGGCTGCAGGTCACCCACATCCTTTGTGTGAAAGAGAAGAGAGCGTTTCTATAATTACATTTATTTTTCACAGGGATTTTGTCAGTCATGATGGCATGAAGAGAAAAAAAAACTTTACTTTTTTTTTAAAACCGGGCTCATGAATAGTCCTCAGACAAGTTTTTATCGCAATTGGAAATAATGCGTCCTTTCATGTTAGCTAAATGCGAATGATGCTTACAGAGCAAGTGCAATCTAATATGATATGAAACAGCCTTTCTTTAAAACAGACTACGAACGAATAGTTCATGTTCTTAACCCCGCTGGGTGATGGATTTAGTAGTCTGGAACCTCAGACTACTAAGAAACCTAAGTCCAACACATTTTCAATGTAACATTTGTTGCATCTCACAGTGAAGCCAACAAAGACAACTATTCTGACAAATGACATTTAACAATCGAAACAATCACCCTGTTACAAAGAAGGTGGCTTGGGATTAATGCCCTCCCACTTGTCCATTTACCAAATGAGATGGCTAAAGTGAAATGAATAAGAAGAACAGTGTACCACACTGACGTCTTCAAGAGGACCAAAAATAAAGAAGCAAATACAGACAATGCTGTTAACCTAAGCTTTATGCATGAAAGACAATGGCAGAGATTTAATTAAAAATGGAGTTTAATTTGAAATGACATTTTGACCTGTGCTACACGGTTTGCATTTTCTTATTGATGTAGTGAAGGTGTATGTGTTTATGATATTTGCTTGTGTATGTGTGGGTGTGTGCATGGCAGAAAATCAACAGAAATCACTTAACTTATCTACTGTACATTGCAGCGCCTGACAACTTGGGTCCACTGTAGTCCAGTGCTGCAGACTTATCAAAAACTAAATTGTCCTTGAATTTAATTTAATAACAGCGACCTATAAAGATCAAAGATGATAACAGACGTCTGCACATTTGACACACGGTATCAGCTGACCATTAGCTATATGAAATGTACTCATTTCTGTGCTTCTATACTGCACTAAGCATGAATTTAAACCAGAATACAAAAGTCTCAGATGAATCCAGTTAATCCTTATCCAGCTAATCCAGTTCAATAAAGTGTGCGGGCCATATTACAAACAGTAGTTTTCAGCATCAGACAAAGGGCCATCTTAAATCAAAGCTGTTGTGCACCCATGTCCATCAGAATCAGTGATGACTTCTGTTCTAATACAGATGGGAACCTTGCAATAACAGACATGTGAAGATGGCCTAAACAGGTTGTTGCTCGACCCTTGAAAAGATGAGCCTTAATTTTGTTTTGGGTAGCTTCTCGATATAATTTGCAGATGATCTCCTCGATATGACACTTTAGACAAAACCATACAGCAAAGATAAAAAAGGCTCTGTGTAGTGGTGAAGGAACAGGCCTTGAATCATCTTATGAAACCTCTGTCAATGCCGACAGAGCTACTAGTAAATCACACATTTTACTTTGCATTCATGAGCAACACTTGGTCAAAGTGAGTGTTAATAGCAGAATTAACAGGATATAATCCCTGGCTCAGAACTCCCTGAGAAAAAGACCGGTTTCATGGCCTGCTCGAGGGGTAAGAATTTCTCCCAACCATCCGTCCTCTGGACACGAAGGAGGCTCCTTCTAAAAGGTGGTTAACTTTCATGCAAAAACAAAATCTTCAGACAGCAGAGCAAGTGCTTGCATCCCTTCAGGACAATGGCTATGGCTTCTAAAGAAAGATTTTCATTTAATCCAAATATCGTTAAATATATGCACAGTTATGTTCTGGGTCTTGGGGACATTTTTGCCAGTTCTATTTCACTTCTTGAGCTTTTTCCATCAAAGAAATGTTTCAGTTTCACAGATAATCCCATGTGAAATTGGCAAAGCACTACAACGAGCGATTTCTCCCCAAACTGGAAAGCAAAGACCCTAGAGGCCAGCAGGCCAAGATAGTCTGGGATCCAGCCATCTTCTAGCATCACACTTGGGGCTAAATCCTGTCATACATAAAACGCCTTGATCCTTTCCGTTTAAAGAAAAAAAAAACAACAAGTACAAAAGAATATTTCTGTCCTTATAATAAATAAACAAGATAACTAGCACAGAACTGATGGATTGCTTAAGAAAACAAAATTCAATTCCAAATAGTTTTAATCCAAAGTATCTGTTCAGACAGATTTTGCAACATTTCTGTTGTTATGGTTTCAAATAAGCTGCTTTGGAATTTAAATCTCTTAAAGCGGGCCCTTTATAGTCATAAAACTGACATTTTATTAATTACGCTACAAACAATCTATATCCTTCTTTGAGACTGAAATTTAAAATAATACGCCAGCGTTTTTTAAAGTAAAAACATGCATTATGCTATACTCCAATTAGAACATATTTCTCTGGTCCTTGCATGTTACATTAATCTGTGTTCACTGCTAGCCTCTAGACAGTTGATAACAAAAGAACAAAGAAACTGTGGCTGAATTCACTCTGCCTCCCCTACTGAAACACAGAAAGAACAAAGAAAGCATTTTAAATTCAATATCATCACTTGCCTCTTTCAGGATTAACCTACTTTAATTTTTTTAACTTTTTTTCTACTCAGCTTCTAGCTATAGATAAGGTTTTATCCTGTATAGTCCTTAATTACACTATAACAGGGTTCTCCAAAAAACTTAGTAAAAATGTTTTATAAGTCACTTTCTCATGAATACCAATATAAAACTGACAATTGGTACATATAGTGTGGATAGTATATTATTCATAATCACAAACAGAAAAAAAATGTCGGAATCATACATAACAAAACTTTTCCCCTTCCATTTCAACACAATGAATTCCATTTTAAATAAGATTTTATTATTTAATTTAGGAATTAATGATAGAGCTCCCAAAGGAAGTTTTTCTTAGCCTGCTTAACAAAGCACAATTCTGCAGTGTGAAATGGAACAGTTTTTTCTTGCCTTTGTGTTTTAAAGATTACTGCCTGCCTGTGTGATTTAAAGATTCTGAAAAGCATTTCTTGTTCCACTTCTTAAGATAAACATCAGCAGGTGTCCATGTGTGACACTTGAAAGTGCCACAGAGTAAAAACCACAGCATTCACGCCCTGATTGCAAGCTGGCTGACAGAGTGTACAAATGTGCACGTATGTAAATCTGTATTAAACAAAAAGTAGTTGATAAACATTTGAATAAGAGCAAATTAGTAGTTAATAAGTGTATAGCATGGAAGACGTAATATATAATCTCAGATTAACCAAATGCCTTTATTCAGGGTTATAGAATGACTATGGATTTGTAACAACTAAGAATCATATGGAAGTATCATAAAAATAAACCTAATCTCTTACCAAGACAGAAACATGTCATTCTTACGCAAATGTTCCTACAAAATTGTCAAATTATGCAATTTTGCAACCCAGCCCCAGATGTACCAATCAAGCAGAAGAATATTGGACATCAATAAATCCTGAATTTCAGCAAGCTGGTTTGGAGAGTTCCATGTTGGAGTCAAGCTGTCTTCATTATTAAGTGCTAGAAAAAATGAAGATCTACTTACAGCTCAATCAATAAGACATCTGTCACTCCTTCCCCCAAAGCCCCCTGTACGGTATCTGTTGTGCGGGATGCCCTAGGAGAGTACACCGGAGCCTTTCCACACGTTTTCAGGCATTCTTTCTCCTAGAAGCAACAAAAAAGCCCACTGTGGAAATGAGGCAAGGCTCAGAAGAGATGGAAATTGAGCATCTAATCTAAAGCATTCTTGGCTGCTCTCTCTGATAGTCCCTGGCAAATTCAGCAGGATGACAACAAATGAAGGCTTTGTTCCTGGATTAGGCTTTAAACTTCCCTCTTCAGGTCGGACTAAGCATTGACTACAATCTTCTAAGGGCTCTAAGGGTCTAAGTATTGTAAAAGACTTGGCGAGTCAAGCCCAGGAAGTGCCATGATCTGATGGAGCAAGAGAATATGTAAGGTTTAATTTTTAGAAATCACCACTGCTCTCAATGCAATATTCTCCTGGGTGTGTAAAATGCAGCAGCTTTGAAAAGGAGCTCAAGAAGAGTATAACATAAATATGCCTTGTTCTACTCCATGTCTGGGGCCTTACTGCTATTGTTATTGAGATTGATTGCTTTCTAGTGTGGGACACATAACTGTAACTGGTCACAAACTGAAAAAGGTTTCATAATACGAGCTCATACCCTTGTGACAATATATAGTTTCTAGTTAACTGCATAGCACAGCGACTGCAAACAGTTCACTGAGGTGAGTGCCTGAGTGTATCCCAGTTCAGACAGCTGACAGAGAGAGAGTCATACTGACAGTGAAGGCACTTATTTTTAAAATACTCCTGTAGCATACAAGGCAAATGAGCCTCATGGATTGTTTTGAATTCCGAGAAAGAGAGAGACAATTAAAAAACATATTCCAACGTTGACAAGCAAGCTAGCTGTTCAGTCTTGATCTCAGACTTTGTGAGGCCCAGTAAAGTAAATTGAGCCTGGTTTACTAGCATGGAAAGCTGAATAATCTTTAAATCACCCTGTGTTATCTAAAGAGGCTTTAACTATGTGCAGCAACAACTACCCTTTAAAAATACACCAGCACTTAAATCCCGTATAGTATGTGTGTCCTGGGGGTAATGAGAAGATCTACTTGCTGTTCTCTTGCTGGGCATGGTTAGGTAAAAATACCTGGATGATTGTGCACATCATGAGATGTTCAAAAGGTTTTTTTCAACCAATTTAGAATGCAATTACCTTTTTATTTTGTAGATTTCTCTTGGTTTGACATTGTGTGAATAACACAATCTCAAAATCTAAAGCATTCGTATTAGTTGCAAAGTGCGAACAAATGTATTTGCAAATATTTCTGGTTCTGATAAACTGTAGCATACTGGAATTACGATTGTTTTTTTTTAAACTGACAACATTATTTGTTTTTACTACCAGTTATGTTTGCTGTGTTATTGTTTTTGTTGAGCTGCAATGTATCCACTGTAAGATTGAGAGGATTTGTAACTTACTGTCTCTTAGGCCTTTTAGAAACAACACAAGAGTTTTCTAATATTTGGCAACCCATACTGCCACAGACAATCAAACATTTTTTTTTCAGAAAAACACACTCCACCTTTAAGCACGATGTAAATATGATATGCCTCATTATCCTTTCCATTGAACACTGTCTTTATCATTAATCAATACAGCCTATAGATGCTGCCCAGCCTTCCAAATATAACAATAAAAACACACAGTAACACACAGTAGTTTGTTCTCTTTGCAATGATGGAAAAGATCTGACTGATTTCATCTGGGAAGACTGTTCACTAAAGAAGCTTTAGGCGTACTTGTAAGTAAGGTATTCAGCTTACATTTGTGCTGACACTGTTCACGATTTTTTCTTCTGCGATGAACCTCTCTCCTGTGCTCCAAACCCACCAACGCTTAATTATATTGGAAGTGGCTTGTCTTCAAAGCTACACATCACCTCTGCTGCTAGAATATGAGTTTTAGGTGTTTAATTTATCACCTATTCTTGTACCTTCCTCATACTTTATATAGAGACTCCTTATTGACCGCCTGCCTGGTGTCTTCATTAATTATTGAGGTGAATTTTTACAGTCACTGCATTTTGTGCCCAGAAATCCCCGTCATAGATATTTCTATCTAATCTGAAGAGGCAAGCAGTCTGACTTTTCTCCTACAGGACACATCAGCCTCAATCCTCTGCAAATTATTGCCTTAGCCTTGAAGTTAAATACCAGAATCTATTAGATTTTATTGACTACTTACTCTGCATATTATTTCCAGCTTGCCTTTCAGATTTAAGCAGTAGGCTATTATATTTTTAGATATTCTTTCCTAGTAATTTAGTGAAATGTGTTAAGAGTGCTCAAATAATATGTCGAGGATATTACATTAAATAGTGAGCTCTGACAGCTTCATTTGAGGTTTGTATTTGAATAATTACGTGAAATGGTCTTGGAGGACTGCTCTCAGTGTAACGTTCTTAAAGTTTACAACAATTTAAATATTACACCAGAATTGCACATAATTGGTCTACAGATGTGTACATGGTTTTATTCTCTGGTTTCAATGTGGTAATAGGATACATGTAAATTAACTGTGACTGCTGTTATTTCATTCGGCTCCCCTTCACAGTGAGCTCAGAGATCTCCTGGGTCTTATCCGGCTAAAATAAACACACTCTAACTGAAGAGAAAGCTGCAGTCTCACTTGGGTCCTTCTCTGCATCTTGTGTTCAAAAACATAAGCTGCTGACAAGCTACTGTGTAACCCTTTGAATGACTGGAACCTCAAGTCCCAGAATAATTGTTGACCATTCAACTGTAGACGTCTAGCTAAGAGACGTACACGGTATTTCTACACTTTTGGTAATTTTTTATGCATTTTAGGTTTTGGCAATACTTGCATACTTCCCTTAATACTGACTAATCCTTTCTTTTCTTTGTGAGCAACGTTATCTAGAATTTCATTAAAGAGCCTTCAAAAGTCTCAACCACCAAACACTGATAAAATCGAACTTATCTGTATGCCTTTGCTTGTCAATAACACAGACGTAAAACAATTCAAGATTTTTCATACAAAAAGGTGTTGTGGGGGGAAAAAAACTACCTGCATGATACACCTTTATGCTTTATTCTTTTAAGAACAATTTTATCACACAAAATACAAAAACGAAGAAAGAATTGGGGTGGGATTAGTGAACTGATTTTAACCCACAAGATTTTAATAATTAGCGTACAGAAATTGTCGACCAAGAAGTGTAAAGGGAGCAAGTGATATGATTTTATATTTCCCTAATTTGTGTTTTTTTACATTGATTAGAATCAATGTAATGAAATACCAGTAACTCGTTAACACTCTTGGGCATTATTGCTCAGATCATCAAAGCCATGGAAATAAGATCAAAGACGATGCTAATTGGCCGCACAGTATTTTTAATTAATATCGCTATTTTGACTCAGACAGCAGGTCATTCACCTACTCGGTCGGTTTTCTGTTTAAATTGAAACCAATTCAGCCAGTCAACCCCCTGCATAAATGTCGCGTTTGTGACTACTGTGGTGTGTAATATTGATTAGATTCCTAATATTGATTAGAAAAGCTAATTATTGTCATAAACACTGGCAGAGAGAAAAAACGGAACATTTTTCACGATTACCTATACATGTACATCCCATCGATTAACTACCCCACTAAAGTGTAAGAACATCAGTTTTAAAAAAAATAGCAATGAAACACGTGCTATCTAATATAGGAGGGAAAAACAAGACTATTAACCAACACAAATTTGTTGCTCAATTGGACACGTAAACAGGACATAATTTGAAACTTAAGGAACTGTAGTCCCAGAATGATCACATGATCCGAAGAAATTAAAAAAAAATTAAGAACAGAATATTGCACCAGACCACATACTCACTCAGGTTCTCAGTGGGTTTCCAAGTGCGATGATACACAGTATCTCCTGTTCATTTTTAAGGTTCTGTTCCAGACCCTGCTGCTCCGTTATAATAAATCAGAAACAAGTTCATAACCTTTTGCTTTCTCTGATAAAACGTACATGCGGCATTGTACTAGTCTGTTGTTGTAGTCCTTCCCATTCCTCCACATTGCCCTCAGCCTGTTTACAGCACGCATAGGCTATTAATCGAGTTTAGTTTATGCTTGATGCAAGACCGTGAGATTTGCCTCTTGCTGTTACGAGCTTGTTCCATCTGCGCTCTGTTGCTCGGCTCAGCAGTACCATGTGACGGATAAAAAAAACACGCAATTCGCATTTAACTTGGGTTTCCACGTAGCGCCACTTGCTGGCAGTGGGAAAAACCTCGCTTAAAACCTGTTTTTCCCTCCCCACCCTGTTATAAATGTACAATCAAAAGGCTGGGGGACGCAGTTTTACAATGGTGCTCGTTAAGGCAATTTTTCCGCGTCTTGCATTTATAAATGTATTCAGTTTTGCAGATATGATGGGTTTAAGTGAAAAATTGTTTAGCTGTATTTTCAATGCTTCTTGCAGACTTTTCCCACATAAAGTGTAGGAATAGAATAGTTCACTGAAAATGTCATTTTGCGCCGTTCAATTAGTTAAACGATAAATAATGTATTCATGTAAATCTAGGGGACACACGACATCACATGGTCAAATGATTAATTGATAATATGTTCATCCAGAGAGTGGAGCGCTTTAGCATACTGGTCTCTTTTAAAAGTGATTTCTTCTTGGTGGTCTTTCCACAGACATCCGGAGAGTTGCCGGAATAAGCGTTCTTCTCCTCTATCTGTAATTGTTATTAATATAATAAAATAATTCTTTAGAAATCTTGACTACCACATGCTAGAATTAAGATTTTTTCCATTGATGTAGTAACTATACTATATTTTTTTAATATAAAGTTGAATATACCAAAGTATCTAAAAATGCTACAGTATATGTTGGATACGGAGGATTTCAAAACATATGTTTGTGACTGTATTCAAAGAAATAAAGTCTATTCGATTACTCACCTTCTCAATTTAACATCTCGTCCACCTATTAGTCTCACGACTGATCTTCTTCAACTCCCTTCTGACAGGACTCACTGCATATACAGGACACTCCAGTTCTTCCAGAATCATGCAACCCCAGAGTCTTCAGCCCCCTGAAATCCCCCAGTTTCCCAACTCCTCGTGGCCCTTATTAGCTTCAAAACCTTAGTGCTATCTTACAGGGCTTCCAAGCAAACACCACCAGCAAAGCTGCTGTCCACTGTCAGACCCTGTGTTCCCACTGGAGCACTGAGATCTGCTTTATCTGGCTGACTGGAGCTGCCAATGCTAAGAGCCAACAAGTCCCAGGTGCAGCTGTACACTGCACTGGCCCATTGGTGGAACAGCTTACCTGTCACAGTCAGAGATGCACTGCAGACTCACTCACCATCTTCCAGAGCAAGCTGAAAACTCAGCTCTTCAGAATATACCAGAGGCCTGTGCCTGACCTCACTAACTGAGCTCTTAAGTTACTATTTCCTGTCTGTCAAGGAGCCCTGAAACTCCTTTGCCCTGCACTTAATTAATGCTGGTCTTACCCTTTTCTTGGCTTTGTTATTGTTTAACGTTACTGTTATATGCACCATTTGCAACTTGACTCGATGTGATTGTAACCTGCTTTGGACTAAACCATCAGCCAAACCAAAAATGTAATTCATCTCTTATCACATTAATGGATAGCTAACAGTAAGTGCCACCTCCTTCCTCAAGACCTATATTAGAGAAAATACATTATGAGATCAGGAAAATGAGGGTACAATGATGCATATATACATGACAAAATAATAGCTTTGTGAAAAAATGACATGTTATCTAATACAGTGTTAAACAGATATGCTGCAATGTCATCGTTCCTCATGAGGTTTGTTGTCAGTTGTCAGACAACATATCAAAAAGTTTAACACTCTTGCTTGTGTCCTAGCATTAGTGTATAGAGTTTTAAATATTGTATTTGATTAGGACTGTTGCTTCTGCTAAGAAACTTAACTTAACAAGGTTATCGAAATCAACACTTCAAGTAATGTAAGTTATAATAATAATAATAATAATAATAATAATAATAATAATAATTGCTTACACTTATATAGCGCTTTTCTGGACACTCCACTCAAAGCACTTTACAGGTAATGGGGACTCCCCTCCACCACCACCAATGTGCAGCATCCACCAAGTTATGCCTATCAGCAGATTACAGCACACCTTCATATTGTACTCAGTGCTATATGTAGGGTGAAGGTGGTTTGTGAAAATGGTATTGTTGACAATAGTAGAGGTCAAAGACGAAACTCTCCAAAACTCATGTTTTCTATGCAATAGATAACAATCCAGCAGAGATCTTGAGAATAAGCTTGCTGCAAATATAGGTGCTAACATTTCTTCAAGAATACATTTCTTCAAGTAAGACATACATTAGCACAAAATTATTTCAATGGGCATTTATAAGGTAGAAACCCTTGGTGTGTCCTATACCTTGTGTCTCCTCTTCTCGGCAAACTTTGATTTTAATGTGCATTGTCATGTGCAATGTCTCTCATAAGCTGTAGTGTTCACCACCTTCTTAAATTTCTACAAACTTCAGGCGCCACTCCCTACTCTTAAACAGGTCTTCAGGCATGGTGAGGCATTTTCAGATAACTACTAAGTTTGTATTAGGCAAAAGAAATTACACAAAAGCTATTCATTTTCTAATGTGTCATTTGCATCACATGTCCATTTTTTTATTTCAAATATCCATCCATCAGAATATATGTAATGCTGATCTGCGCAGTACTATGACTCTGCTGTCAGAATGAATCAGAAGCAAAACAGTGACAACATGCTTTGCAGTGAATGGGGTTAGGATTATGTACCTCACAGTTCCTGTGTGCTCACCTACCAACCCCCTCAGCACAACACAATGTGACAAACAAAGCTTGAGAAGACAATTTAAAGGATTGTGCTAGCCTTCACTTCACACGACAATCAAAAATAACTTTAACATCACCTTAGTGACTGTTCAGTTCTTATTCTCAGCTAAATGCCAGAGGAAGAGCCACCATTCGTCTACAGTATTATCAGAAAATACCTTTTCAACCCAGACCCTGTGCTAGAAGCACAGGTAACCAGAGTGGGCTAGACTCTGGAAGATACACCAGTCCATCACAGGGTAAACACACAAGCACACAGGGACAATTTAAATTTACCAGTTACCACAGCCAACAGATCTTCTTGGGGCAGGAAGAAACTAAAGAACCAATGTGGAACCAGAGAGAACATACAAACTTCACACAAAAGGTGTCACGATATTAGTTCCCCCTCCTTAAGGGTGCTCCAGCCCTTTCACTTAAGACTTCATTCTCTGCACCTGTTTCCCATTCCCTGCCCACCTTAAAAGCCAGGAGCTGACGCTCTTCCGGGCTCTGCATCTGATTTCCGTATCATGCGAGTCCGGGACCTGGAAGCGCCTGGTCCCGTTAAGGTTTTAACCTCCGTTCCCGTTCCCCGTTCCCCGTTCCCCGTCCGCCGGTTCCGACCCGGCCTTCGTGGTTTTTATCTTGTTCTGATGGATCTTCTGGTTTTGGACTTTCTCGTGTGTTTTTGGATATTCCCTAAGGACTATTCTGTGTCCTGTGGGATTCCGGTCACGCATAAGGATCCTCCTATTCCACGTATTGGTTCCCTGACAGAATAGTGAGCCGGTGCAGAGAATAAAGTCTTAAATGAAAGGGCTGGAGCACCCTTAAGGAGGGGGAACTATAATCGTGACAAAAGGTACTCTAAGATAGAAACAGAGCCTAAAACCCAAGAGCTGTGTGGACCTAGAAAGCATATTAGAGCATAAGACACTGCTTATCAGGAATAGGCCAGTTACAGGTATTTTCTGATGTGAGTAGATATCATGCTAAAGTCAAATATTTGATTCCCACCATTGTTAAAATAATATGAGCATCTCAATGTGCTAAAATCTGCAAGTGTCACTAAATTAATGAATGAATTCCAAATAATCCCGTTTCATTCTAATGTTTCATTCCAACTATCTTAACGCAATTTGTGCTTTACTATAAGATATGGAAAAATTATTCATTAACTACCAGCTCCCAGCTGTAATGGGTTTCTTTTTGATTATATGGGTAGAGGTTATGTACATTGAAATGGGACCCTGTGTCATAAATCAATACGGATTGTGAGTACAGCGGACCTGCTGTGTGACTATAAGCAAGGTACTTTGCCCCATTTACTCCAGTTCACCCAGCTATATTAATGGGGATGAACATTGCTGGAGGTGATCCCTACAATCTGGTGGCGTCCTGGTGGGGCGAATCATGTTCTCTCTCCTGTCTGCTTAACGCCATAGAAACGAGAAGCAAATCTGGACCGATGAGCTACAGAGCCATCATCGGACGCACACTCACGTATCTATAAATATGTGAATGAATGTAAATGTATTTCTCCCAAAATTACTCCAACTTATGAGACGTTTTATTCGTATGGTGGCTTTCGTCAGCTGTCTTCCAGTTGATCTAATGCAATATCTACATACTTACAGTTTTAAAACAATTACCATTAAAGTCTAAGACAATCATTGTCATATTTAATAAAAGCGCGACAGGAAGCTCGTTTCAAATACTGTGCTTTTAAGGAGCAGAGAAGTAGGTGCTCTGATATGATCCGATGTGATGTTTCTCATATCCCCTTAGCCTGGATGTGTAAAAGATTTATTATAGTTTTTGAAAACATGGTTAAGTCTGTTACCAGGGGATTGTAGACACTGCTTTTAAGAGGCTTTCTATTATGAAACAGACGCAAAAAGGAAGCCAGAAGTCTGTGAATAGCATAAACTTTAGAGAAGCATGAAATGTTATCTGTTCCCTTATAATACCTTATTATATCTTTATCTAATCATGTTTCCTGTCCTGATAAAAAAACACGAAGAAGTGTGCGTGATGTTCGGGGTATTACACCAAGGGGCTAGAGACAGCTAAAAGTAGTTGAGTCGATCTGTCTCAGTCGATCTATTGGTCTGGCTATGTCTACCGGTTTTTGTATTTTGAAAATATTATCATCTGTGAGTCACATAATTTCACCAATTCTCTCTGAAAAGCTTTCACAGTGAACACATAAAATCATACAGATCCACGTGGAATTTTGATTCTTATCAAAGAGAGATTAAGTAAATAATACGGTAGCAATTTTATATTCTGTCAGCAGATGGCACTTTGATTCAAAACTCCAACGGCATTCATGAAGAGGAAAGTCACACATCACAGAGGGACAGATCGTTTACAATTCTACGTCCTGTTCTGCGCCTTTTTTTGTCTTGATAAAGAAAAAGGGCAATTTACTAATATTAGTGGTCCTGATCCATGAATCATATACGTTCAACGTTAGTTTTTTAGTTTACATTAGCCGCTCATCACCCTGGGGAATCAAAATCGATTCGAACAGCAATCGTGGTATTTGTGTCCTTCATACGATACACACAGCCTGCATGCATGTGTATCAGAGGGTAAGACTGTTCGAAGAAATTGCTATGCGATCTGTTACCAGCGTATACTGCTTCCATATGCTTTAGCGCTTTTTTGGTCCGGAGAGAATAATATCCCCTCATGGTCTAAAGTCACGATCTTTCTCGGAGAATTTCGTAAAGCCTTTCAATCGCTAAGCAGACATAGGGCTTGGTTTGTATTCTGTCTCTTCATGAATTCAGGATCCAAGGCATGGCTTAAGACAAGACATTTAAATTTCCTTTCAAAGCATGAGTATCTTATTAAAGCCAGTTTGTAACTCAATTATTTAACAGCTTGTAAAAGTAAATATTTGTAGAAATCCATTACACGCAGCTTGTATATCATACGCACAAACTCAAGAATGTACAGTATTTTAGTTTTCACTTTATAGCAACTTTGATATTGATATTCTACGGAAAAAGAGCATGTACGTTGAAAAGCAAGTACACATTTGAAATCAGTTAAAATGCTAACAATAAGAACCAGATCTATTTATTGTAATTTGATTGTTTGCTTTTTGCTTCACATGCAGTACCATTCCATCTGACTTTCGTGAGATTGCGCTCACTCTTAAGTGCGTTAGATTGCTGGCGCTCAGAAAGACGCACACGCAGGGGGTGTTTCTCCACAGCAGGGTTCTTGCAGAACGGATTTTCACGTCTCGTACCCCTTTAACAGCTGTCCCCCCTCGCCTCTCATTACACCAACCACACAGCGTGCTCGCTTCCACACAACTTCGGGCGAGCGCAGCTGAGCTGCTCTCCGCGCCTCTCTAAATACAAAGATACGAGCGGTACACTTCTCTTGCAGGAATGGCTGAAGCATGGGATTCTGGTGCCTGAAGTCGCCGATTCGTTCTGTGATTATAACTGGACGCTTCTGTATTATGTTGGGAAAAGATCAGTGATTTGCTCTTTTTAAACTCTGAATATTTGAAGCGCGCTACTCTCTATATCCCGTGTGATATTACAATGGGGTGCTGTACTGGACGATGCACATTGATTTTTCTGTGCACTTTTCAGTTGGTGAGTCTTTTCGTATTATTACACATAGTAACAGTTTCTGATATTTTATGCTTCTTCCATTCTCGGCACGTGTTATGCCCAAGAGTTATGATTTGAATGCTGGGATCTGCGTTAATGTAGGTTAACATTTCCAAAGAGGTCTCCCGTTGACTCTCATCGGAGAGTTCTTTTTTTCTCTTGAGGTTGGAGTTTTCTTAAGATCCTGGGAGGGATTCTGAGAGGCTTTTTAGGTAGGTAGCTTGTTGTAGAACAATTGTTTAAAAGGCGCGCCCGGTGCGTGTTTTATTTTATTTTTAAACTAAATACAAGAAAACGTGAGGAACATGTAGGCTAGTCGGAACAGTCAGCCACCTCCCCCCTCTGTCTCTTTAATGCGCTTCTGTGTTGGTGGCTGTCGTGTTACTCACTTTTGTTAATAGTTAATGAATGCAAGAATGCTATTCATGCATTCACTTGGATGTTAAAAGGGCAATGTTGGTCCGCAGTATCGATCCGCAATTACTGTGAGGGCGGTGGGGCCCACATTTAAGACACTAACCGTTTTATAGACCTGACACATTTCACACTAAAGAAGGCAGTATTGTGAATAATCCGCTAGATCCCTTAAGGGTATTTATTTTGATTAGCTAGTTGGATAACTTCATATAGCAAGATATTCAAAAGCAACATGATTCTCCTTAGTTATTATTTGAACGTCTTAGTTATAAGTTACGTGAGACTCATACCATAATTTGTTTTAGGCAGAGCTCTGAAAACACTATTATAAAACTGAAGACGACTGGTATGAGGAAAGCCTTAGTTTAATTTTTCTATGACGTTGGGCCACTTAAAATATTATTTACTATATACATATTTTATGTTGGAAAGAAAACTGATTTTCCACTGTAAACGTGGTTACTGTCGGATTTCAGAAGCCTAACAGAGTGTCACGCAGTAGTGTTAAATAATTGAACCGATATTTTACAGTACATGGACTGCACTGGGCTGTAGGAAGTCTATTAACTCATTATGACATATTGACCCCTTGCCTTTGTAATTTACAGCTTTAGAGCTGACCCCCGGGGCTAATACGAAATTGCAATTTAATACGTTTTAAACCACGTGTTAGTGCAACTGTAAAAGACAACAAATTAAAACTCCTGGATAAATGAAGTAGACTTCGTTGAATAAAATCTGTTGACTTCGTTTTAAAGTCATTCGGTAATGACCAAGCCTTTTCCATTAAAGACCTGGTGAGCTAGGGGGATTTCGGAAGGGTTACCAATGATGCAGTGACGAGATTTACCTTCGGGAATTGTAGCTGAGTCTTAATCTGTTTCGTCAGTTTAGAGACAAAGAAATCTTATTATAGCTGACAAACATTTAAAGGGGCGATTTATGCCCATTCATTCAAAAACAACTAGCCCGATCCTCGTTTATCACTTGCTAATTGTTTCTAGAAAAACAAAACTACACTTATGCTGGGTGGCATGTTTTCATGGCAGATAGTGCCATTGACTGGATCTGAGTCTGCTCTGTGTGGAGTTTGCATGTTCCCCATTGTTAATGTGTTTTTTCTCTGGCTACTCCATTTTTTGTCCCGCCTTCCAAAGACATACTAGTCAGATTAAGTGGAATCTCTGAGTTGTCCATTTGTGTGTCCTAGGATAGAATTGGACAGTCTGTCCAAGGTCTAGTCCCATGTTGTGCTTTCCACTAATAATGGACTCTGGGTTGCAGTAACTCTTATTTACAATGAGGAACTTTCTCACAATGGATGGGTGGATAGATTGAAGTTGTGGTGGATGGCAGGTATTGTACATCACCTTGTTTTCAAGATTCATTTTCCTGATTTGTCCAAAGAGGGCAAAAAGCCATTGTCACTAAAGCTATAAGCTTATGGGAATCTGGACTCTAAACAAAGCAGAAGAGACTGTGAAATGGGTTCTGATTTCCCCTCTTTTTTCAGTTCTCATTTTATTTTGTACTTAGGCCGTTAAAAGGCAATGGACTGTGAGATATTGTATTCAGTCCTGCACAAAGAATAAAACAAGGCCATTGTATCTGTGCTTTTATTCTGTGCACAAAACTTTGCCATCAAGTCTTTACCTATCACTGCACTAAAGCTAGACCCGTGCAATAATGGAGTGTTACAAGCTAATTTCTATTGCGTTAAAAGAGTTTTCATGGGAAAGTCTTACACAGGTCAGGCGTATTAAGTTGGTTTCATTTTGGTCATTGGAGAGAACTATGACAAGAAGAATGAAAAAAGAGAAGGGAGTTGTGTCATTATGAACATAAGAAAATCTACAAATGAGAGGTGGCAATTGGACTTATTTGGTGGTTAGTAGCTAATTGATCCTTCCAGGATCTCATCCAGCTGTTTCTTGAGGGAAGCTAATGTATCAATAACTCCAACAATGTGACTTGTTCCATAGCCCATGGTGTATAGAAGTGCCTCATGTGCTCCGTTTTAAATACACTTCCACAATACACATATATACACTAAATACACATCATATTCCACAATGTATTCCATAATATTGAACCAGAGAGGACGTTTTCACTGTGCGTTCTGAAAAAAAACACTGATCTGACTTTGTCAGTGCCCTTGAGGATTCTCAATACTTGTATTAAGTCTTCTCATAGTCTTCTCTGTTCAAGACTAAAAAGGCTCAGCTCCTTCAAGCTCATATTGTGTGCAAGCAAGCTGGAAAGGAATAAGTAAGGGAGTGTTTTGGCTGTGGAGCTTCTTTGGGTGTGTGAGGAGGGGACAGCAGGAATATGAGACAAAGGAGTGCGTAAAGGGAACCACAGCGAGAGACCGCATTATGGGTAAGTGTACACAATTTGATATCTGAGTGACTAATTCCAGGTAAGGATGGCATCGGGCTATAAAGGAAATACGAGCCTTAGAAAGGAATTAGTTGGTCGTTGGTTTTTGGGGAAGGTGTAAAACTAGTTTAATTATTTTTGTCTTCTTGCATCTTTCTGGCATAGACATCTTGTTCTAAGACTGTGAAGAGTTTTTTTTTTAATGTTTACATTTTAAATTAAACTGATCAATGTGTGAAGCTCAGTACTAGCTAAGAGTTTCTACCTTGCTGGTTTAAGATGATATTGCTGAGATAAACAGAAGTCAGTCTTTGGCCACACATTAAAGTACATTTTTAAATATAAATGAATGCCAGCATATAAATACTTACATACTGTATAAATACATAGAAACAAGACCTGCTTTGGCTTAGAACAATCACAGAACACTTCATAACCAACCTGAGTGTTCAAAGGAAAGGACAAATGTGAAGAAATGGATTCCAAAACAATCTCAGTATTAGCATTTTTTACATTCTTAAAGTGAACGGATTTCTCATCATCCTTGTATCTTTTAACAGTGCGGTCCAGTCCAATGTAATCAGCCTGAGAGCCACATAGAAAATAGCTAGAGTCCCTTAACGTGTTTTGTTCCACTAAACAATGTGTCATACCCTGATTTTATGTTTTATGCAATTTCTTCAATACTGGCTACACACCTACCACTAGGAGAATAGATGAAAACACTAAGAAATCCTCCATATTTATCTCTGAAGAAACAGTCAAAATATGAAACTGATCTATAGTCGGATTCAAGTAGCAAACCCTGTTAGATGAAAATACATTTTCATTTTATTGATGTCAGGTTTTGATGCGTAGAAGATTGATTATATTATACACCACATTCTTAAGTGAGAAACCAGTTTTCTATTAAAAAGGACCTTATTTCAGAAGAGCTTACCTGCTCTCTTTATTCCAGGTGACATACAGTATATTGAAATAGTAATACTGTAACTATGGGTTTTAGATTTAATGATTATTTTAGTGCTAATTTATTGGATCAGCTGTTTGGCGATAAAACCCTTTGTGGCTGAGCATGTCAGAATTTGATTTCACCTTTTCATTTTTAACTTCTAGAATAAATTATTATACATTTTTCTTTTGTTCTCTTTGTATGCCATAGGGTGGCTACTTTCTGCTTCAGGCAAGTGGGCCTTGGGGACTTCACTGTCTGTTTGCGACCATTCAACTTGCAAGTTCCCCTCCAGCTGACACACAATGAGCGTTAATTGCAACAGTGGTCTCCTGGTGCAATAAAGAAAGTGTTTCTCCTACTCTGTTCTAGTTTATTACCTAAATTTGTTTTTTTTCCTTAACCGTTGACATTAATTTGAACATCATTGACTCTGCTTTGTGAGAGAATGCACTACAGTTAAGGAATTATGTACAGTAAAAAGAAATATCTTGAGTTTCTCGGGCAGAATTATGTTATTTCTTGCTGTACTCAGAGAGTCATTACAGTATGTTGCTGGGCTGGAGGTAAATTTATCTTTTTATTTTGGCAAACATATTTTCTTTGTTTGGGACAAACAAGAAAAAAAAAGACATGGCTAGACCAGAAAAAAAAAAGAGAATCAAAACCATTTAAACACAGCCTACACATTATCTACAGCCTGAGTCCAAATCAGGCCTCTGTGCCCTAGACATAAAACTGCCTGCTTTAAGCCTTTACTGCTGTGAGTGTCCAGGTGATGTATGACTGGGATTGGTCTTCCTTCAGGAAAAACAAATGACTCCTGCTGACTACCTTTGGTTTCTCTCTTGTATAATTTCTTCTTCAGTGCCCCTCTACATACAATTGCCACTGCACAATAAGGCCATTAAAAATACTTAGCACTTGCAGTTGCTATTTTGTAGTGAAGAACAAATTAAAAATGCAAATGAACCAAAGGTTATAAGTGAAGGAAACACATTCACACCATCCTGCTCATTTGGTTGCCAGTAGCTAGCTGATCTGGGGATCTCATCTGGTTGTTTCTTGAAGGGGATTAGTTTTAGGGATCATCTTCAGTGACCCGGCTACCTACCGTCTTCCAGGGTCTCGCAGTCCCTCGAGTGAAGAAGTGATCTTGGCTTCAAGTGTACTATGTCTTCATTTCCAGATGAACCCTTCGTTTCCCAGATGGGCCTAATGAAGCCCACTGGAC